TTTTGTTCAACTTTTGAACTGTTATTTCTAAGTTTTGGTAATTTGTACATCTTATTTAAAATGGGATGCAAATGTGTTTATTTATAAGGAAAAAAAGATATTTATAGTATAAAAAATTAATTTATTTAACAAAATTTAATTAAAAATGTGACAAAATAGTTACCTTTCTATTGGTTCTATCGGACTTTTTTCGACTATATAAATCTTTATTTGTAAACTTTAATACATCAAATATTTTCAATCTAATAAATCATTTAATGATGTAAATAAGAGGAAATTTCTCACATGTGTGGTCAAATTTTATAGTTTTCACTCGAGTTTTCATTATATCAAACAGCCTCTGAGAAATGTTTTCAACTCAAAATGCCTTTAATTATGTTTGACTACATCATTAAAAAGGGTCTTCAAATACATCAATGTGATATTTGTCTAAAATTTGCGAAAGAATCCGAATCTCTGGATAACTCGAAATTATTTACCCATTTAAAAGCCTTTGATCATGAAAATGGAAAAATTTGTTAATTTTATTTACAGGCTGGAAAAATTATTTATATTAAATTTTGATGAGTTTTGCACTGAAGAAAACATTCAGAGGCTGTTTGATATAATGAAAACTATAGAATTTGACCACCTATGTGAGAAATTTCCTCTTATTTATATCATTAAATTATTTATTAGATTGAAAATATTTTATGCATTAAAGTTTACAAAAAATAAAGATTTATATAGTCGAAAAAAGTCCGATAGAACTAATAGAAATGTAACTATTTTGTCACATCTTTAATTAAATTTTGTTAAATAAATTAATTTTTTATACTATAAATATCTTTTTTTTCCTAATCTCCGACGAGCTGATATAATATGACGAGCAATCTATTAAATTACTGTGAGATTATACAGAAAAGTCCACAGACTTCGAGGCATAGAAAAATCAAGTCCATTTAGCGTGTGTCCTAATTTTGACAAGTTTTCAAAAATGACAGTTTTGTTTAGACTGACGTTTAATTTCACCTGACTTCTCGGTGAATGATTTCTTTTTATGGGGGTACATAAAATCTAAAATTTACGGCCATGAAGAAATTCAAAACTTGGAGCAGTTAAGGCAGAAAATATTTAATGCCTTTGACACTGTCACCCCTGATATGTTATCCAATGTGAGGAGGGAATTTTATGATCGTTTGGGTTATTGTTTAATGCAAGAGGGAGGCACTTTTGAACAATTTTTGTAATTTTTTAAATTTCATTATCCTGTTTTTTTTACCGTTTACCCATTACCTACCTTGACGAACATGGGAAAACGAAGGTCCTTTTCAGGACCACAAATATTTTGATTGAGAAAATTGGTAACTTTTTTTTGGATTAAAAAACAAAGGTTGTTAATATAATACCAATTTAAAAGTGTTTTAGTAGTTTTAATACACACTATAATATAAAATTTATTATTATTATAATGTACAGTATTAATACTATTGTTCATTCGAAATGGCATTAAGACCCAATTGCAACAATGATTTAAATTTTTCTTAAAGATAAGTAGAGCTTAGAATGAGCTGTATTTATATTTACTTTAATATCCACCTTAAATGAGGGAATTTCACTGATACAATTTTTGAATTTGAATTGTTTTTAATGATACTAACAATTTTAGTTCAATTTTTAATAAAATGTATTTAATATTAATAGAAATCCAAGAGATTTGAAACCTCTTTTAGCGATTTATAACATTCTCAAATGAATTACAGGTGCCCTTATTTTCTATGAAAATCAACAGCTTTTTCATAGTCGCTGCAGTTGCTATAGCTATAAAAAACTAATTTTTTAAGGTGTGAAAATTGCGACACACGCTAAATGGACTTGATTTTTCGTATGTCTCGAAGTCTGTGGACCTTTTTGTATGCCTCGATAACATATTGGTGCAGATTATTTTCACCCAAACAAATAATAACCCAAACTATACATTGATGCGGATTGTCTACGAACTCTTTCTGAAGGTCACAGAAACCTGAACGCGTAATTGGGTGTTCTTTCGCATCTGTTATAGGTAATTTGTGGTTGCGGGACCCATATAGAGAGAGGAGAAACTTTGAACTGTGGCAGCCCCTATTTGCGGCAACTTTTTTATTGGTACCCCATTAAAACTGAATTCCTCTATTCATAAATATACATAAAAATTAAGTTTTGATTAAAAATATGATGAGCGTAATAATCCTGCAGCCGGATCCTGTACTATTATCGCTTTGTCGATATATTTGGTGTCCTTCTTTACTCCATTTCCTATAAACTATGAGCATGTACAGAACCAAGATGCATAAACATTTGTGATTCCTGATAATTTCTTATTAATTATTGTTTGGTCGTATAATTTAAAATTCTTTATAAAGTCAAAAACTTAAATAAGTCTCTTCAAAATGGAAACAAAAGGTATTTATTACACCAAATTAAAGTGCTGATTATATAAGCTTTTTTATTTCAATACGTGACCTTCAACCTGATGCTGCTCTGCTCGTCATAATAGCTCACCAGATTAATTGAAAGATTTTTACTTGTTTACGAACAAAGCCGTAATTATATACCTGGTTACATAAAAAAATCTTGTGCGATAGTTCTTCACTGCAACACTATTCTTATTGTTGTCGAGGCGTTTCCTGGTTCCAGTGGCGTAGCTACCATAGGAACAGTTAAAAAATAAATGAAATGTAGCAAGACTCTCAAAGAGTTCATAACAACAACTCTTTTCAGTTTTATTGAACTGACATTCTAAAAACAATTACAAATAATGAAAGAAAGTTGTGGTAAATATTAATAGCATATTCTTAGATTATAGAGTATCATTTGACTAAAGTAATTTACAAAAAAAAATTGTATGCACCAATAGCTATTAAATTGAAGGATTTGAAGAACATGTTTGAAAAAGTGTAGTTTCAAATGTTGAAAAAGTAATAAATTAAAAATTAATAAATAATTTGATTCACTTTCACAAAATTTGTATTAAAATGACCGTCTGTCCCGGCAGTGTTCCCAACTCTCAAAAGTGAATCTCCCTAAAATCTAAAATGCTCACTTCAAAACTCCCCAAAATATTCCTAAAAATCCAAAAGTACCCCCAAAAAGACCTAAAAAATAGTATTAAAAAATAAATAATATTATTACAGAAACATATTATGGTGCGCTTTAAGTGGCTGACCTTGAAACGTCTAGTCCCCCTAAAGCAATTTCAAACCCCACTAAATCCAAACCAAAAACAGTTGAAAATTAAAATTATTTATTTTTTGACCAAATATGAGGTTAGGGTTAGACTGTATCAGAGATATGGAAGGAAATATTCCATATCTCTGTGTAGAATATATATTCGTTCTTTATTAAATTTAATAAGAGTGACAAAAAAGACAGTTTCCGGTTTATTTGTCTTTTGCTCGTGTCTGCGCATATCGATAGCGGTAACAATAAAATTTTGAAAATCGGGTGCATGACATGAATGAAATAAATAATTTTGTTTTATTTATACTTCTCTATTAATTTTGATAAACAACAGTAGCGGTAAAAAAAATCTTAAACTCCACTGAAATTTTATCATGAAAAATAACCCTAAAAATTTTACTCCCTAAAAAAACGTACAGATTTTTTCCCCCTAAATTTGGGGAGAAAATTTCGGATAAAAACAATTAAAAAACATTCGGATACCTCTATCCACGTGCCGAGTTTGGATCCAATCGACCCATAATTAAGAAAAAACCTGAATATTTCGTCCATTTAGAAACGTCGGCGACGCCGACGCCATCCTGTAGCCCGTCCCCAATTATGCCGAAATCCACCCGCATTTTCTTCCATACAAAGGCCCACCCTGATGAAGATGTAAACGAAACGTCGCGTCCAACTTTGCATGGTTGAAGCGTGTTCGCCATCGCCAATACAGTCTACCCACCAAATTTGGTCGCGATCAGACGACATCAACTTTTGACGTTTCTTACGTCAAAACTAAGTGTCACAATGACGACTAAATTGGCCTTGGTCCAATCTATCGACATACCAAATTTCATTTAAATCGGACGATTTTTTTCGCCATTGATGATGTTCTTCGAGTCCTATCTACATTCCGAATGTCAGCCCTAGATCACATAGGGCCCGAGTTACGACTTACGACACTCAGTCAGACCCATCTCAACTTCCTCATTGACTTACCACTTTTTCGATCGTTACCACTAGCTCGTGTGTCACGGCCTTGATTTTTTACTCCCAGCCCTCGTAAAGAAGTTTCACTTCAAAAAGAACCAAACTTAAACTTATCGTTAAAGTTTATTATTCACATTTAATAATGGCTTCAGATCAAATTAAAACTACGCCTCTGGTTGGTCGGTTTGATCCCACGGTTTTTAATAATAATAGATAGAAAAATTAATATTCTCAAAGCTATGAAGGAAGACCGTGTGCTCTGTATGACATAACTCATTAACTAACGTGGGTATTGGTTACGAGGAAAAACAAAACAGCAGAATTATATAAATAAGTATATTTAGTTATATTTATTAATGAGATGGGCATTTTAACTATGAAAAATTCGTTAACTACATATTTTATATTTAAGATAAAAAATATTCTGTAAAAGATATTTGTTGAACTTTAAAGAAATTCAAACAGCTTTTGCTTACAAAAAATAATGATTAACTTTCAATTTTATAGTTAACTTATAATTTTTGTTCATTTCTGTATCGCCAAAAATTGCATAGAAATATCTATTTATTATTTTATATTAATTCGGGTAAAGACATCCAGGGGTATTATCTATTTTTTTCATAAACCATCAGCGTATAATAGACTACTACTCGTGTGACATTATGCGTTGATCACGTTTGTTATGGTATAGCAAATTTTATTAGCAAACAGTGTTCAGTGTTCTATTTAAAAGGTGGAGGGCAATAAAGAATCTGATTTATTGTTAAAATAATTTTATTTTTGGTTAATTGGCTAAACAAATATAACAATACGAGTATTATTTTTTACAGGACAGAGATGAACAAAGAAAACTGGAAATGAAACATCGAAAAGAGGAAGATGACTTGTACAGAAAATTCGCACGACAAAGAGAGGAAGAAGAAAGAAGAATGAGAGACGAAATCAGGGTAAGTACTTATTTAACAAAGATATTTATTAAAATTATGTTCTAAAGAGGCATAACCACAGATAATTCATATACAGCCAGTCGAGGTCGCAGTCAGCGCGCGTTTTCTCGTACTTACGCATCAGTCAGAGCCCCATCAGTCTCAATAATTGTCTAAACCGAGCCGCAATGGAGTTCTGAATCGGACTTGTTTTAATACTTAAGGGGCGTCTTACAATACTTACCAGACATCGACAAATTAGGCAAAGAAAATAAAGTCCTCCTACTCTGGGTGTCCGCTCATCAACGGATAGAAGGCAATGAAAAAGCAAATGATCGATCTAGCTAGAAAAGGAGCGACCACTCCACTAACTGAACCAGAACCGTTCTGTTTTAGGCATGTTCGGTCCTGAGATTTCAGTACCGGTATCCGGTATCACAAAGTACCGGTCCCAAACCGGTATACCGGAAGACCGGTTGGAACCGAATTACCGGATGAACAAGTAAGTACACGAGTCGTGAGAATGCACCATAACTTTAGATTTTCATTGTTTATGTTCACGTTTCAGACATTTTCTTGATTTCTTGTCCAACATTCTCGTTATTTATGAGAAATGGAAAAACTACTGGAAGCTGCTGTACTTGTAGATATAAATGGAGCGGAAATAAGATGCTATTTTACGTATTTTAAATAATAGAGTAGACGCCATTGAATACCGGCCTGAGTTTAAGATTTACTTGAGTTAAAGCTTTACTTGAATTTTAGATGTACTAAAAAAAGAAAACTAGGTTACTAGACCAAACTAGACTAGCACATGCCTTAAACATACATCAAAATAAATTACATTGTATGTTCCTGACCGTATTATACCGAATGATGGCCTCCAGTTGGCTTGGAATTGAGATCGGTCTTCCGGTATCGATTGAAACCGGTCTTTTGGGATCAATTTAAACCGGTCTTCCGGTACCGGTACCAAATCCGGTCTTCCGATACCGGTACCTAAACGGGTATACGGGTTTTGAAAAAGTCGATACCGGTACCGGAATATTTCAAAAGTACCGGTCCTGGTACCGGTATACCGAACATGCCTATTGTTTCCCGAGCGGAAATTAACTAAAAGCGGCTAACTAAAAACTAAAGCATCCGTAACCTGGAATGGGAGTCTTCCAACGCTCTAAAATACTCGAAAAAGTTCCTCAAAACTTACAACCGAGAAAAATCAAAGATTTTCCTTGACTTCAGTAAAAACAATCTTCGGATTGTCACGGGGTTTCTAACAGGACACTGTCTCCTCAACGAACACCTCAGTAGGCTGAAGCTAAGAAATAACGGCGAATGCACATTCTTTGGGGAAAATTGGAAAACACAAGAACACCCATAGACTTAAAATAAAATATAGACTACACTATTTACAACTCAACGCGGACAAACATTCTTTTTTGTACACATGTTTACTTCTGGGTACAGTCGACCGAGCCTTCCTCATCCAGCCTATGTTGTCACGTCTTTAATATTATCAATAGTTTTTTTCTTGTTATACACATATATTGAGATATTAATACTACAGATTAATAAAGTAGGTTTTAATATTCCATAGATGTATTAAATAGTCCTTATACTACTAAATTATAAGTCGGATACTGTTTAAAAAGGATAAGTTCTTTACAATATGACAACACCGATTAGAGGCGAGAGAGCCTATTCATTCATTTATTACCTTGTAGTACGTGTCGCACGTGTGCGGTAAAGCTTTGTTGCCGCTATCTCCCCGGCTGTATTAACGCATTTTCTTAGCTTGTAGTCCTTAAATGTTTATTTTATTGACTTTTTCTGTTCAAGAACTATAAAATATGGTTCGTCAGTGCCAAATTTGCAAGAAATTTGACTTAAATAATCCATTTAAGTCTTGAAACAACTTTCGACCGGTAGGCAACTCTCAATATACCCATTAGGAGTAAGTGGCGTTGTTGTAGAAAGGCGCTTATTTAGATAATATTTTAGTAAAATGTAAAATCTGAATTTTTTCTCTTACATTACATTATTTACTTACTTACATTGTAACAAAATCATAATTATAACCCTGTTAATAATTAATAATGCTTTTATTAAAAATATATTCCGGTTTATTCTAAAATTATCTTGAGAATCTAAAATAACATACAAGAATTTTAAAATGATATTACATTATGAAGCAATATTTTTTAATATACCGGGTCGTCTCAAAAGTGGCTCGCCCCTATAACTTTTTTATTTTTTCAGATAAAAAAAACAGATTTGTATGTTAGTAGGTATATGACATAAATTAGGATTTATTGACGTATTCAATTGTTTTTGGTATCTTCCTGTTTCACGGAAATGATTACATCTTTTGATTTTTAAAGGCACCTTCGGTATATTGCTACTTTATTCGATAAAAAATGATACTCTGAATAGAATGGCATATCATATGTCAACTTTTGACATTGTCGCTTAAAAACAAATCGTATTTTAAATTTCAATCCAGGGTGCCATGGTGTTGTTAAAAACACTAAGGTTTAATCAAGGAGCCTTGGAAAAATAGTTTTGATCGTCTAATGGGTTTCGTGTCTTTTTAGGTCAATGTCAAAAGTTGACATATGATATGTCATTCTATTCAGAGTGTCATTTTCTATCGAATAAAGTAGAAATATACCGAGGGTGCCGTTTATAAATTAAAAGTTATAGTCATTTCCAAACAGGAAGTGACCAAAAACAATTGAATGCGTCAATCAATCCTAATTTATGTCATATACTAACATACTAAATCTTGTTTTTTATTTGAAAATATAAAAAAATTATGGGGATGAGCCACTTTTGGGACGCACCCGGTATAATAAAGACAGTACCGAGTTAAATAAATGTAGTTTTCATTTTATCCACTTCCTATCACCTTCCTTGCTTTAATGGAACAGATTTATGTTTTCTCTAATTTACATAAGACATCACTTAACCAGAAAAAAAATTACAACAATCATTTTTTTTTCTCTCCCTGTCGCCGATTCTATTATATCTGTGGAATAGATCCTGTTTTGATTAATATTAGGGGTTATAAATGACTAAAATTAATAATTTATTATTAATTTCTCTAACTCTAAGACGTTTTTTCTAAACTTTTATTTAAAAAACCTGTCCTAAATCTTAATAAAACATAAAAAAGTTTAAATATGATATATTTTTAATTTAATTATAGCTTCATTAAAATAAAAAAAAATACCCGGCTATGATACGGAGAGTTCAGGTGTACTTGAGAAACGAAAGACAGTGTTGTGTTTCTCGGCAGAGTCGTCAGGGAACGACCGTTACGACAGAGACAACCTATCTATCGCTCGTGTCGCACTCGTTATAACCTAAAACAATAACACAACAATAACAAGACATTGTCTGACCGCATGTTCCAGCTATTTATGAATGAGATGCTCAGTCTATATTTTATTTTAAGTCTATGAGAACACCTCATCACTGAGACGGCGACCGTTCGTGCAATGAACTTTGTTACGGCTGATGTCGAGGATGGAGTTTGTTAAAGCCCTGAGACTGTATGATGAGTTATAACTCGTTATAACTCAAGAAAGGGGAACACGCAATAGATCTGTAAGGTCGCGGTGATTAACTCCCCTCCTAAACATTCTACATTCTAGGGGGCGTAGCAATGCGTAGGGTTTTTGAGGATTTTTTGACACCCCCTTTCCCCTTGGTGAGACATGTCGTGAAGGAGATCAATTCCTATTATGAGGACTTGACCATTGCCCTCCTCCCTCGAGTTGTTAACTCGCCAACTCGATGTCCTTACATTGGAGGTCTGAGCTTGGATAAGGCTCAGAAGGTAGGTGGTATTACCCTTTGCTCCTCAGCAGAAAGACCGTAATGGTTGCCTCTTTACGGATGTTGTCCTTTCACAGCAACCAGTCTAGGCCCCTACTAATTCTTAAGCTTAGGTGCCGTTACCACCAACCAATCCGCTGATTCTTGAGATGCATTATCTATGAAAAGTATTCCCACCCGAAAGTGTATCCCTGCAAATCGCACCTGACCCACATCTTGTACACGTCCCCTTCCTCCTTGGTACCATCACGTAATAAATGGACGCCCCCTCGACCCCCCCTTACAAAGGATAAGCAAACATCTAGCTAGGTACACAGAGTTTCATGTAAATGATCGTAAGTCGACTGGCTGTCTAATGAATAGTCTGTGGTTGGCCTAACTAAGAAATTTGTTGTTTAGGATATTAATTAGGAGTTATAGACAAAAAGCATCATTTTTTGTCATTTCGTATGTTACATAAATTATTATAATATTATGTATAAAATATCGATTTAATGTGGATCTCTTTATTTGAATAAATGTATAATTGACAGGGATAATTAATTGCTATAATTTAGTATAGATATTGCGGTGTCTTAACCAATTACTAGTAAGAACGAAGATCTATGGGCTCTAATCTAAATAATATTCAAATGTGTGGATGTGATGATAAACTTTATTAATTTCATAATTAAATAATAAATTACATAAACTATATATAGCAGTTGCCCCTGAATATAGGATATTTGAAATTTAACTGTTGAAAAAATATAATAATAGTCAATTGATAATGAGAAGACTAGCTAGATTAATAGTTTTTAATTTATTGTATGTTTGAATCTTCTTTACAGGGGATATAAAAATTGAAATTTGTTTTTAAGAATATTACAAAAAATATATAAAAAACAAATATATTTTTTTATACTTTAAACAAACTATCATTACTAGAAATTGTAATAAAAGGTAAATAAACTTTATAATAGTGTAACTAACTAAAAATTAATCTATTTTAAAAAGTGAATATTGAAATACCTACTACGGATCACATTTGTACCGGCTGTATCTTTTTTAAACCTTTTGTCCTAAAAACTTTAGTCAAAATTAGGTAAGTATCCAATTATACCGGGTGCGTCTCAAAAGTGACTCACTCCCTATAACTTTTTTATTTTTTCATATAAAAAAACGAGATTTGGTACGTTAGTATATGATATAAATTAGAATTGATTGACGTATTCAATTGTTTTTAGTCACTTCCTGTTTCACCGGAAATGGCTACAACTTTTGATTATTAAATGACATCCCTGGTATTTTTTTTTACTTTATTCGATAGAAAAGGCACCCTAAATAGAATGACATATCATATGTCAATGTTTGACATTTTCACATATGGTTTATTTCAAATTGTAATATCCGGTTCATAACGACAATTTGATACCAAGTGTGTCATATCAAATTATTCGTAAAAAAATGCTTTTTCCAAATATGCTAATGAGCCATCATTGTTCCATTTGAAAAAATTGAAATAAGATTAAACATACGATTTAGGCATCTTTTAACCGGCCAGCACAAAACGCGAAAACATTAGACGATCAAATATCTTTTTAATATCTATAAATCTTGATTAAAAATTAGTGTTTGTAACACAGCCAAGGCACTCTAAATTGAAATTTAAAATACAAATTAAGCAAAAATGTCAAAAGTTGACATATGTCATTCTATTCAGAGTGTCATTTTCTATTGAGTCCCATTTAAGTATCAACGGTTGTAGTTATTTCCGGTGAAACAGGAAGTGACCAAAAACAATTGAATATGCCAATCAATCTTAATTTATGTCATATCTCGTTTATCTGAAAAAATAAAAAAGTTATAGGGCCACTTTTGAGACGTACCCGGTATATCAGGGCGTAAAATACTTTTTTGTCTGTTAGTTAGTTCCTTATTATAAAATTATTTGCAATTTACTGCCGTTATTTTATCGACATTAATAATCTTCGCACATGTAATTTTTGCCACTAAAATTTCCTATAATCTCCAGCCTAGGAATATTGCCAATTTCAGTTTAATATCTGTCTAACTCTTATACTTGGGATTTGTTATTTGCACTTCAATATACATATTCCTCTTCCATTGGCTTATTATCGCTTAGTACAAAGAACCGCACATTTGCCAGACTATCAAACTAACGTAGAGTGTGTTCTGTCATCTTTTTTTTCTGATTGGCAGAATCTGTAGTTGGCTTTACCTGTTATCCCATCATTTTAACGCCTTATTGAGCTTGTAATGGTCAGTTATAGGGGGTCTACTACAGATTTGACTGTTTACTTGTGTATGCTTATCAGATCTATGAGTAAATTTTGGGGATTGTTTTATATTCCTGGTGAATATTTCTAACATTCTAGAGATTTGTCGGCCACCAACTGCTTTGTGGTCACTAACAGTGACAATAGTTGTGTATTATTCTAATGTCCTCTGTTTAAATCGTTTCTTCTCTCACTAGAGAAACTTTATAGCCTTTTTATTATCTATAGTATTTTTTAAACCGTCATCAATTAAAAATTATTATTTTCCCTTTCACCTACAACATGAACCTGAAGATTTGTGTTAATATATCAACATAAAACTGTAGAAATGTTTGATGTCTTTTATTTTTAATGCTATGTAATATGTATCTAATATTGAGAAGTAAGTTTAATTAAAATAACGACTCTCCTTTTAGGATGAATGGGAAAAGGAATTAGAGAGGTTAACGACTCGGTTCGAGAGGGAAATGCAAATGAAACGGAGGAGAGATGACCAAAACATCTTAACTTTGAGGCACCAACAAGAAAGAGAAGACCTAGAGAAAAATATGACGTTGAGGAGAGACAAAAAAAAGGAGTCTTTAACAAGAAAAATGTTGGAACACGAAAGGTGCGAGTTTACTAATATTACTGTTTATATCACTAATTAATTAATCACTTCCATTCTTACATAGATTTGAAAGAGTAATTTTTGCGTACCTAGTCGCTTTGTTTTATCGCATGATATTTTAAAACTCAATTTAATTATACCATATATTATATATATATATATATATATATATATATATATATATATATATATATATATATATATATATATATATATATATATATATATATATATATATATATATATATATATATATATATATATATATATATATATATATATTATACCTGTATTTTAACTATAATACTATAATACACCTTACACTAATAGAATATTTCAATACCGGGTGCGTCTCAAAAGTGGCTCACCCCTATAACTTTTTTATTTTTCCAGATAAAAAAACGAGATTTGGTACATACCAAAAGTGACCAAAAACAATTGAATACGTCAATCAATCCTAACCTATGTCGTATACATGTTAGTATACGACATAGGTTAGGATTGATTGACGTATTCAATTGTTTTTGGTCACTTCCTGTTTCACCGGAAATGACTACAACTTTTGATTTTTAAATGGCACCCTCGGTATATTTCTACTTTATTCGATAGAAAATGACACTCTGAATAAAATGACACAGCATACGTCAATTTTTGACATTTTTGCATATTGTTTATTTGAAAGTACCAAATTATTCGTAAAAAAATGTTTTATATCCAAATATGCCAATGAGCCACCCTCGTTCCATTTGAAAAAATTGAGATATGATTAAAAATACGATTTTACGGGACAGCACAAGACACGAAAAACATTAGACGATGAAAACTATTTTTCCAATGTTCCTTGATTAAAAATTGGTATTTTTAACACAGCCATATAGCACTCTAGATTGGCATTTAAAATACGATTTTTTTTAAAGCGAAACTTTCAAAGTTTGACATATGATATGTCATTTTCTATCGAATAAAGTAAAAAAATACCGAGGGTGTTATTGAAAAATCAAAAGATGTAGTCATTTCCGGTGGAACAAGAAGTGACCAAAAACAATTGAATACGTCAATCAATCCTAATTTATGTCATATACTAACATACCAAATCTCATTTTTTTATTTGAAAAGATAAAAATTGTTATATGGGTGAGCCACTTTCGAGACGCACTCGGTATACTTTCCAGTTGAATTTACTAATAATTAATGTTCAGAAATCATTGGATTCAATAAATATTTGGACACCAACAAAACCCAACAAAAATATACCTAATTTAAAACTGCAATCAAAATTTGATGTACTAAAATTAATATTGAGATAAAAGAAGTAAAAAGTTTCCACACAGGCCAATCAGTCATCAGAAAATGTATCAAGTAAAAAATGTTTCATAAATTTCCTAATTTCATTTTTCCATAAAATTCCTAATTTTAATTGATTCTTGTCTGGTTTGCAGCTACTTCTTAATTTTTTAAAAAGTTTTATGTCAATGTTTAATAAACGAAGGATTGGCATTGGAAAAATTACAAGGGGCTCGGTGGTGCCGAGCCCATCCCAATCACTGCTAGGCACCCCCCAGAGAAATCTTAAATTTTGACTTTATTATGACTCTTGACTAAATACTAATTTTTATTTGCTTGTGATGTAGTAAAAATGACTTTTTCTAGTTTTGTTTGTAAAGTGTAGAATGTAGAATGTTTAGGGGTTAATCACCGCGACCTTACAGATCTATTGTGTGTTCCCCTTTCTTGAGCTATAACGGGTTATAACTCATCATACAGTCTCTCTAGTTTCATTTAGTTAATTTTTTTTTTCAAAAAATGTGTATCAGTTTTTATTTTTTTACAAAATTTGTAGTTATTTAAGTAATCCACGGCAACACGGTTTGATAACCAAATCTATCAAATTTATTGATAGGGAAATTCATGTAAACGTTTTATTTAAAAAATATGTTTATTTTCAATAGTATTATTCAACATTTTTTAACAAACAAAAACCCTAGGTCCCTCTGGGTTCAACCCTAGGTTCCCTCCAGGATGAATTGCTAGTTACGCTAATGAGGGTTGGCACAGAAATTGTCTTTCATTTTCATTTCAGACTGTGAAAGACGACTGTGACGCCGCTTTTTTTCCGATAGATTATCTATATATAGATTTTTGGATAGATTATCTATATATAGATAATCTCTATATTATATTTTTGAAGACAAAATATTTATCTGTAAATAGAAAATAAATTAAAAAAGATATTATACGACAGAAACTCAATTTGGAATATCTACAGGTTAGCTGAACAGTCGTTTACTAAAAATATTATAAAATAGTTCGACTTTATTTAGATGCTTATAACGAAGTTTACAGACTTATTTTCACTAAACTAAAGAAAATATACAGTACATAAAACTAAAAAAAAATATATTTTAAATTTTTTATACAGCCCTACCCTACTCTCGCTGCTGCTCAGCTAAAATCTCTCGCCAAACTCAACCAAATTTATCGATAAAACAAAATGGCTACCTAACGGTGCAGAATGTCACGATAGCATAAAAAACAACTAATTAATATGTAGGTAGCAGGCAAGTAAACATGATATTAATGAAAACGTCCGTGCAACACGTTAACAACTATCTTGATTCGTGTAGGAATATTATAAGCATTAATGAGCGGTAATCTTCTTTAACAAAAAAAGAGCGCTCATGGGTGTAAGGTTGACAGTCTTAATAATTTAACCAGGCAGAGATTAAAGTAGATAAATTGTCGTGGTTTTAAATTTATAAACATCTGCTATAAAAATTTGTGAAAAATATATTAAGACTCGGAGACCGATTGGCTTGTTTAGAAATTTTTCCATTTAAATACTAATTTTTTAGAATGTCAAATAAAGGCAGATACGACACCATTTGGCCTTCAAAAACCACTGTGACACCGTTTTTTCGAATATAATATGGTATTAAAGCACAGCCTAATCATAACCAGACTGCCGACTTATGGGATCATTCGTAAGGGGGAATCTGTATACCTACAATATAGATAATTTATAGATATTAGCTTATCTTATGTTATATAACAAGCCGGGTTCTGAGTTCCATCATGTGACTCACCCCTATATCTTTTTATTTTTTCAGATAAAAAATCGAGATTTGGTATGTTAATATATAACATAAATTAGGACTGATTGCCGTATTCAATTGTTTTCGGCCACTTCCTGTTGCACCGGAAATGACTACAACTTTTAATTATTAAATGGCACCCTCGGTATTTTGTTACTTTATTCGATAGAAAATGACACTCTGAATAGAATGACATATCATATGTTAAATTTTGACATTTTCGAATATGGTTTATTTGAAATTGCAACATGCGATTCATAACGCCAATTTGTCTCGAAATAGCAAGTGTGTGGTACCAAATTATTTGTAAAAAAATTGCTTTTTCCAAATATGCTAATGAGCCACCCTCGTCCCATTTGAAAAAATGAGATATGATTAAAAATACGATTTGGGTATCTTTTAACCTGCCAGGACATGACACTACTAAGGCTCCTTGATTAAAAATTAGTGATTTTAACACAGCCATGGCACTCTAGATTGAAATTTAAAATACAATTTTGTTTTAAGCGAAAGTGTCAAAAATTGACAAATGATATGTCATTCTATTCAGAGAGTCATTTTCTACCAAATAAAGTAAAAAAATACAGAGCGTGCTATTTAAAAATGAAAAGTCTTAGTCATTTCCGGTAAAACAGGAAGTGGCCGAAAAGAACTGAATACATCAATCAATCCTAATTTATGTCATATACTAACATACCAAATCTCGTTTTTTATCTGAGAAAATTAAAAAGTTGTGAGGGGTGAGCTTCTTTTGAGACGCATCCGGTATAGACCTTTAGAGTGTAAAAATACTCCAGATGCTAGTGCCTAAAAAATCAACTTTTTACTATAAATATGATTTTTAAATAGAATCTTTTATTAGGTTTTAGTCTCATTTTTTGGTTTCGAATAAAACTAAGACATGAAATGAATATTTTTCTCACTTTCTAACTAATATAATTTTCTAGGGCGGCTACTGCAGCATTGGTCGAAAAACAAAGCCACGAAATGTTAGAGCTGATCAACGAAAAAAGGAGTGAGTACATGCAGGCAGAGTCATTATATTTAGACCACAACGAAGGAGGTTATAATGAAGAGGCACAGCCCTATCCAGTACACGCCCCACCTCCCGCACCTCCAGCATTAAGTAAATTTCAGGTATGCAGATGTTTTTTTTTAATTTTATCGCGCTAAACATTTTAAAGAAGAAGCCAGTCATAGATACACATTGCAAGATGTCAGAGAAATGAGTACCAAAATGAGGTACTTTTTGATTCACTACGTTTCACCTCTAAAGTACGGTTCAGACATAATGTTATACTGCTATATTTTGCAAGTCACCAAAAAAAGTAATTTAAAATCAGTTAAAACGGAACACCGTCTAGAGAGCCGACCGCAGTTCTCTAGATGATCTTCTATATGGAGTCAGTTCGAGTTAAGATGGGGCCTCATATATCCGACTTCTGATGATACGATATTAATATTTATAATTGGAGGGTACCAGAGCAAAAACGGTCTAACCCCAAAAACTTGTTTTGAGAAAACTTAGAATAAAGTTTAGTAACACTAACGCTACTAGTTATGATCGATGACATTTCCCATATAAAATGACAGCGATCTTCATCATTTCATAGCCATCGCTGACGCCGTTTTTTTTCGATTATACAGTATTTTAAATCATTTAGGAGTCAAAATTAAAAATAAAAGTGCTGATTAAAATAACGTTAAGAATGACTTGACATTAAAATTTCACGATATCTGACAAAAGTTAATTTTGATCTGGTTTCAGCTACGTATGACTTCGGCAAAAAAAAATTAGTTTATTTCCAGGATGTCAGTCAAATTACTTTACCCAATAGAAAAGCCGCCGTACTATCTGCATCGTACCGTCGGAAATCGGGTACATGAGACCTAACCTAACCTTAAAACGCACGTCCTTTGTTCTGCATACCATGTTTTACCTGATACATTTTGACTGAACAGGTCAAACGTTAGGGTAGCCACACTACAGTCTGACAAACGGATCTGAAACAACGGGGCAACGGTGAGGGGATCGCGATTTTCTAAAATCATGACCGATTTCATTCATAAAATATCCACGAGCGTGCGGTGTTTCATAAAAATATATCAGGAATGTTTATAATATTTTCCAGTAAAGTTTATAATATTATTTTACTTTAAATGTACCTACATTTTGTTTAATCATTTGCCAAATATAGTAATATTTGTTAAAACGCGTGTACTAATTACAATAAACACAAATCAAGTTAAAGATATAAAACACAATAAAATAACCCCGCCACTGGATTTTTCAATAGTAGTGACTGTTTCTACTATTCCTAGAGAGGGGCATAAAGTTGGGGGTAATGGCGGCAAGACGTGCGAGAATCTCGACCAATCAGACTGGTTGAATCCGGGATGCCATGATGAATTTTTTCAGCGTTGCCAGCTTACCCTAAGCGGACGATATCATAAGGAAATACTTTACCTTTTATAATAGGCAGAATGAACGAAATCAGTTAATTAGATAAATATACATTATTACAATAAGAACTACCTACGTCAACATATTAGCATATATATAATTATGTATGCTGAAATGAACTAAAATATATTCAATTTATAGGTAATATCGAGCAACTTTGCTTTTCTATAATTAAACGTGACAACATCGACTTTTTTTGCCCGAATTCCTTCCGCTGTTTTGGATTCGTTTGTCAGATATTAGCTACTCCAACTATTTTTATTGCTAACCTACCTTGCATGAGACCTAACCTAACCTTAAAACCTAAGCTTAAAACGCACGTCCTTTGTTCTGCATACCATGTTTTACCTGATACATTTTGACTGAACAGGTCAAACGTTAGGGTAGCCACACTAGCTACTCCAACTATTTTTATTGCTAACCTACCTTGTGTGACACATTGTTGAAAAGTTCGTTTCTTTCTCTTTGAACTTTTCTATTGAAATTAGGCAACGTTTTTGAAACCTAGTAATTTTAACTGGTTCTTAACCAAGAAATGTTTTTTAGAGATCACAAATAAACATCAAGGAAATCAATGTTTCCTCTTCAATCTTTTGATACGTATTTGAGGTCCTGGTCAATGTATTTTTTATTTACGAGATATTCTCATTTTCTAATTACACCCTGTATAGGGTTTAAATTTTGGATGTAGCACGGTACTGTGGTACAGCTTTCTATACTAGATCACAAACTGTGACTAGATCTTTAGTTATACTAGAGAAGGTAGTGTAACAAGCTCTACTACCGTATATTATTAACTTATGGTTCTGAATCCCAAGTATTAATTTAAAGTGGAGTCGACCAAGGTATCCAATTTTTTTAACATAGTAACTTAGTATATAGTAGTATTATTTTTATTATGCTACCAGCAGGAATTGATCATACATCCTTTAGTACGAGCCCTAACAACTAAATGTTCGGACAAACAAAAATTTATTAAAACACTTTATTTTCATTAACTGAATTATTTACATTTAAGAAATACATTAAAAATATATTAAAATCTAACATTTCTAATGAGTATTTAAATAGTTTAGTTTTTATAAACATTAAAATAAACTGTAGGCCAATAAATAAACAAAAATATTGCACAATATCGTGACAACTAAATGTTCGGACACTTAAAATAACTGTTTTCATATGGCGTTACATCGACATGAACTTTGACATGATTGACATACGCCAGAGTAAAAATTTTGCCATAATTCACTGAATATCCTCGTCAAATGGGCAACGGTTTTCTTGGGGATCGTGGCACAATTTTTTTTTTGTTTTATGCCACATGTCTCGATAACACTAAGGTCCGGACTGTGCGAAGGCCATGAGGGAACGTTGATGTTCATATCCCTAAACCATTTTTTAGTAGTTTTAGCCGTATGGCATGCCCCGCCATCCTGTTGAAATATAAAATTCATATTCTGGTAAAGGTCTCTCGCACTTCGCACAAAACTGTTTTTCGAAATTTCTTGATGTTTTGACACATTAGTTGTGCCTTTCTACCGCCTCATACCTTCCTAGACCCATTGCGGACATAAACTCTAAAAGCACAATGTCTTTAGGAAATTCCACTCTCCATCTTTCATAAAGATCATGCATGCGTGCAGATGTAATCCTTGAACTTGCAGTTTGCGATTAGAATTAACAGCGTCGGATTGGAACTTCTGATGTCGCAAACTACAAAAATGACATTAAGGTAAAATATTTAATTATTTCCCAATCCGACGCTAATAATTTCAATCGCAAATGGCAAGTGCACGGATTACATATGCCCATGAGCCACCTTAGTATCGATATAATAAATATAATCGAACACCGCTAGAGTGTCTATTTGATAAAGATTGCCTCAGAAGGACAGTGAAATTTCCTTAAGGAAATTATGATTTGATTTGAGGGTGTATGTCCAAAATAGGCCCAGAAAAGTATGGGGTGGTAGAAGGCAAATTGATGCGTCAAAAAATCAAAGAATTTTGAAAAATATTCTTGTGTCAAGTGGGAAAGACAAAGGTCCTTTTAACCAATTGTTCTGGTAAAGACCAGGACAATAATTTTATATTTCAACAGGATGGCGGGGCATGCCATACGGCTAAAACTACTAAAAAATGGTTTAGGGACGTGAATATCAAGGTTCTCTCATGGCCTTCGCACAGTCCGGACGTTAATGTTATCGCGACATGTGGCATAAAACAAAACAAAAATTGTGCCACGATCCTCAAGAAACCGTTGCCCATTTGACGATGACATTAAGTGAATTATGGCAAATTTTTTACTCTGGCATATGTCAATCATTAATAAAAACAATGCCAAACAGGCTTGCAGTGGTTACAAAAGTTCATGTCGATATAACGCCATACGAGAACAGTTATTTTTTAAAGTGTCCGAACATTTAGTTGTCACGATATTGTGCAATACTTTTGTTTATTTATTGGCCTACAGTTCATTTTAATGTTTATAGAAACTAAACTATTTAAATACTCATTAGAAATGTTAGATTTTAATATATTTCTTAAATGTAAATAATTCAGTTAATTAAAATAAAGGTTTTTAATAAATTTTTGTTTGTCCGAACATTTAGTTGTTAGGGCTCGTAATCGAAGTTGTACTTCTACGGTGATAGATATTTAATACTAGATATAATAATAATATTTGTAATTTTAGGTGTATAATGACCCTGCGGAGTTCTCGAACGTAGACCAAATCGCTATTTCAGTTGCTCAAGAAGACCAAAAATCTTTCACTGACCTTGTCAGACAATTAGTTGGTAGATGTGGATCGGATATAGAAAAAGCTAGGTCAGTTCTATTATAAGTATTAAGTAATTTTATTATATCTTTCTGACAATAGTATCCTTGAAGAATTCGTTGGCACGAAAATATCTTTGCGCGTCCAGCAAATTCTGAAAATACCTACAGTATGTATGTCCCCCGTTTGTCTTTACAAGAGGAAACACTTTTTTATCATTAATTTTTTGAGAAAAATACATTCTTCATTAAAGTTTTTGCTTGCTTTAAAATGGTTAATCTCGTTTAAAAATTTCCGAATTTCCATATCATTTTAGAGAAAAATTGAAAATATGAAAATATAGTTGAATTTTTTTTCAGTATCGTAGGCGATTCTATGGTAAAATTTCGTTTTCATTCTTTGATAGTTGGTTATCATTAATTTTAACTAAAGTCATACTCAAAAATGTTAAAGAAGCACAAAGTGAAAATGTATAATCACCTTTTTCCGTAGCATTGATCTAAATTATTTTGTGTTTCTTTAACATATTAAAACAGCAAAAAATATGACGTTCATCAAAATTTCTGTAATAACAACAGTATATCAAAGAATAAAATACTAAAAATAATATTACGATTGAAACGCGTTTTGATTTTTAGGACTTTTGGGAAAATTTAACTACATATATTTTCATACATTTTTTTTCTTTTTCTCGAAAACGGTATGGAAATTTGAAAAATTATAAACAGGATTAACCATTCTATAATAAGCAAAAACTTTTATAGAGTGTATTTTTCTTGTTAATAATAAAATGTTTTCCTGTTGTAAAGACAATCCGGGGACATACTGTATAACTCACTCAAAAAGAATAACTGTGGACCCTTTATTTTTACATAATAATATAATATACAGGATTTGCCACTTCTTTATATTTATTTAAGGTAATTCGTAATAGAGTTTATTATGTCTATCAGAGAAACATACGCTATATTCTTTGATATATACAGGGTAACTCAAAACTAAATAATTTTTTCAGCTATTTAAAAAGGATGGCCTTTATTTTATAATAAAAATAAACTCAGTTTTTATCTCAGACTACATAGCTCACTTTCAATAAAAAACAGCACTAATTTTCGATTTGACAAATTTTTAAAGAACATTATTTTTATATTACCCATATACGAATAATTTAGAACCAAAAATAAGTTAAAATATAAAACATAAATGCTTCATACACTTTCTCAATCTGTATATAGATCTTACCCAATTAGAGTTTTAAGATCACATTCCTAAATTTGATTTCTAAGGTTAATATTGTCATTTATTATAATAAAAAAAATTCTAAAGTAATATTGTCAAAATTATGTATGTACATGCATTTTTTAATCATCCATTTTCCTTCTCCAGGACAATATTTAGATGGATAACAGTAAAGAACCTAAACACAATGTCATTCGATGACAACCTTCGAGGAGACACACCAATGGGATTACTTAGAGGCATTAAAAATGGTACTGAAAGTTATCACGTGTTATTCAAAAGACTTTGCAGGTAAATTCACTATTTATATCATAGAACAAAATGCTTTCTTATCTCGGACATCCCTATCTTTATTCTGCTACGTTTCGACCATTAAAAGTACCTAACTTTACAAGTATCAAATACACTGGTTTTTACTCGTCCAGAATTAGAGGTTCTTTTAAAAGTCAAAATGCTGTATTGAACTACGTAGATTTGATTTGATTTTATGAAGTGGTTGTTGGCCTATTACAACATGACCTTTGGAATCTGATCAAGTAATTGATTTAAAATGGCGACAGTGCGTAAGACTGTACATACTTCAAAATGCTAAAATTTTGGCAATAGAATTAACAGAAAGTTGCGTAAGAAAACTAGACGTAAAAGTAGAAAATAGATTAGCCGCTGATCTACTTCTATTGTGCTATTGTGCTTCTAATAATTTAATAAAGCTACTGCACCCAGAATTAATAGAAAACAAGAAACATTGATACGTAACATTAATTCTACTTGGCTTAAGCTAGAAATCACTCTTCTTTCCCTAATTTAGTATTTTGGATTCTGTGGGTTCTTATTCAAACACACACAATAAACTTAACGAATTTATTTTCCAACTATGCATACAATTTAAAATAATAAAACACAATTAACTTCTTGGAAAAGTATCGCCAATTTGCCACAATTCGTTTATTACAGAACTATTCAAAAAACTAAATTTAAAGCGCAGAAAACGCTTTAAATACTCTAATGGATCTTCTTGCAATGTCTATTCTAGACTCTCTTTTTGTGTCCAGAAAGTTCTTTACAACATCCAGAATTTTCCACCAGTGTCTAAGAAATGGCGCTCCAAAAAGTGTCCTGTATTACCAATGCAATCTTTATCGGCAGAAAACACGCTCAGCGGTTGTTCGCTGTTCCGACAGATGTTCGCCATACACCTTCACAATATATAATATAATGACTTCACAGGATATTCTTCTGAACGTCTACTTGACGCCATTTTAAAAACCACACTTGAAAGTCGAAAGCCACAGGTTAAACCGTACTCAACTGAGACATGAATCGGCACACTTTGTATTGGTATGATTTGTCATGTTTAGATGGTCATATAATCAGTTGACTCGTGAAAACGCGCCTTTACAAATCTAATGTGCTCCCCTCCATATCTCTAGATTACATTCTGCAGTCAAGAGTTCTAATTTTTCAAAAAGCATAATAACTTCAAAACTAAACCTTCCGTATAGTTTTTTGCCTATATTTTTGTTTATCATCGTCTAGTACAATACCGCAAATTTGCCAGGCTGTCGCACTGACAGGCTGTACTTTGCAGTTTCTTCTTCTGATTGACAGAATCTGCAAATGCCTATTCAGCTTGAAATGTCCTGTTCTGGTCTGGCGAAGATTTCCTATTAAAGTGTCTATTATTAGCTTTTAAAGAAAAAAGACTATGAAGGTCCATAGAAAGAAAGTATATCATTCGTCAAATTGTCAATTACCTTCATTTTAAACAGTCCATGCTCTTTATCATATCTGCACATATCAATTTTAGTTACGCAGGTCTGCACTGTGTAGTTATCAAAGGTTACTCCAAATCGGCCGGATACCAACCAGGTGTAAGGTTCGAAGATAACCGATTCAGGAATTCCTGGAACGCAGTTTATGTAGCCGGTGCGTGGAGGTTCGTACAGTGCAACTGGGGAGCAAGACATTTGGTAAACGCCAAAGAAGCACCAAAGGCGGGAAACAAGACTAAGTCAGATAGTTTAAGGTAAGAATGAGTTGATATTTACTTATTTCTATCGTCCACCTAGGGTGTTCCAAAAGTTCGTGACATGGGATTTTTTATTATTCTTGAACATGCTGAAAAACTTCAACAAGAAAACTTAACGTAGAATCTCTCCAGCATGTCCAATAAGAAAAAAAGCATGTTGACATTTGGTAATGTCGCATAATATATGGCCGCCATGACGGTTATGGCAAATGTCATACTTTTTTTTTGTTACTAATTATACTATTGCGAACTTTTGGGCACACTTTGTATTTGTATTGATCTAGGATTCAAATTTTCTTCATATTATTCTGTTTTTCTGATTAACTTCAATTGTTCTCCCCCATTTATTTACGCAATTAATTAAAATTAGATATGAATATGATGACCACTACTTTTTGACGGACCCAAAGGAATTCATCTACGAGTTCTTCCCGCTTCAATCCGAATGGCAGCTATTGAAGAACCCCATCACGCTTCAAGAGTTTGAAGAACTACCCTTCGTTAGATCGTTGTTCTTCCGATATGGACTGTACTTCTCTGATCCCAAAACAAAAGCAGTCATGTTTACTGATTCTACAGGTAGGCAATTTTTATTAATGATTCACAGGTGAATTTAAAAGTACAATAAGCTAATACGCCAAGATTCAGGGAGTTTCTAAAACTTTGAATTTGTGTGCAGTCCAATCATAGTTAAGTACGAGATATCATTTTTGAAATAAGCCAGTAAAATTGCATGTATCCTAGTCAGGTGCTAGGGAGTATCCCCCCTGGCATTTTGGCTGTGTCTAAGGAGCATCTCACTATCTTGTCCCATCTCACTATCCTGTCCGTCATACCAGGCACCACACTGTCTGTGGTCATGTATTACATGTATCAAATCCTAAGATGACTAGATCAAAGGGATGCGTGGCTAAATAGAAGACTAGAATTTTACTGGTCTCAACCTTGGGACACCAGGGGGCACCCCATTGTATTCTCGCCTCACTTCTAAATGCGGAGCTCTGTAGAAGTAGACCGACTAACTCTACGGTGTATCACCAGCTTTGATAGAGCTCCAATTAAAGGACATCGAGTTGGCGAGTCATCAACTGGAGAGAGGAGGGCCATGGTCAGGTCACAATAGAAATTGCCCTCAAATCCAAGGAGACGATAGAGAAAGAGAGATATATCCTCTATTATAAATCCGGGACAACACCGGTATTAGGTCTAAGCAAAAAATAAGTTAAAGAGGGGGAGAAAATGGAGACAGATCCTCCAGCCTCCACCTCAAGGGTGCCTCAGCCGGAGGATGAACCGTTGTTGTCAGAGGTGGATGTAAAATACCCTGCCCCCTAAAACAGGAAGATCCCCATGTATGATGAGTTTTAACTCAAGAAAGATGCACAATAGATCTTTAAGATCGCGGTGATTAGCCCACCACTTATTCATTCTATATTCTACATACCTGTACTAAATTTATCGTTGTCATCGATATTGCCAATTTACCGACATCATCTGCCTCATCGCTATTGACCACTAGGACAACTATCATAAATATAAGTTTGGAAGTAAATTTGTCATATGTTTCTTAAAGATATGTTTAATAAGCCAAATTTAGAGGTGTGTAATTTTTGGAAAAGATCAGAATGTGTTTAAATTTTTCAAATGCACTTTTTCACCTCTCTCATCCCTAGTTACCCCATCCCATACGAATTTGGAAGCAAATTTGAAATTTTAGTTTTTTTTAACTGAATGACTTGGCACGCTTCAAACTTATATTTCCCAACGGACACTTTCGCAATTTCTAGAACCTACTGTAATATTCTTTACCCTTCTAGCAATATCCGTTATCTCGTTCGACATTTTCCACCAACAGATGGCGCACCATTCAGTTTCCCGAACGAAGTCGCCACGCTTCTTGACAATACAAACACGCTTAGCGGTTGTTCGCTCCTCCGACAGATGTCGCCATACACCTTGACATAAATTTAAAAATTAATTTTCTGTATATTTTATTCTGAATTTTTCCAATATTTTAATAGTTACCCTACTATTCGAAACACTTAATATTTCTCTTATTTTTAGAAATAGATACGTATATCTTAGGGTTAAGTAATATATAAAGGGTTAAATGTCAGCATTTTTTAAGTTCATAGCCAACTATGATTTCCATTTAAAAAAAAATATTTTTTATTTATTCCGCGAAATAAAAGATTTATAGTCAAATTTAGGCAATTATATAGGTAATTTTTTGTAATCAGGAAATAGTGGGTTCTCACACACTTTTACACTTACACTTTTCAGAAAAAAAGCAAAATAATGTTTAAGAAATTAATGTATAAACAAACGATATTTTTGTTTATAAAACTCAAAATACTGTTTTTTTAGGAGCAGCCACAGTGAAAATAGCTATGCCAGCTCATATGCAAGGTACCCTCATCTTCCATTATAACCTGAAATTTTATGACAGCGATGGTGATAGCTTTGAAAGTGTATCGCTCAAGAGATTTGTCATGCAGGTATGTACCAATTAGTACAAGTAATACGAATAATACACATAATATTAAACTAATCTTCTATTTTAGTCTGTAGTGGGCAATACAGTCGCTTTCAGAGTTCACGCGCCTTGCAGTGGGGCATTCTTGCTCGATATTTTCGCGAACGCAGTTACCCCAAAAGAGTATTTGACTGGCGAACCTATGAAGTTCAAAAGTGTGTGCAAATTTAAGATTTGCTGTGAAGATTTGCAAACTGTCATGGTACCGTTACCAGATTGCGCCAGTGGAGAATGGGGACCTACAAAAGCGACAAGATTGTTTGGTTTGGTACCTATTACACACCAGGTAGGCCATAATTTTTAGGTACTTAATTTAATAATATAGTTGGTATTACACCACCAAAATAAAACGCTAGTTCACCACAGTACACCAAAAAGCTTTAAGGCGGATTTTCATGCGTAGGACATCCGACAATCCTACAATACAGGATGGTCCGAACTGTATTCCGGAAACTTCGGCAACATATTCTGCAGATAAAAAATTAAGAAAGTTCGTATAAATGTATGTCCTAAAATGCTTAGTTTCGGATATACAGGGTGTAGAAATTTCAGTTGTATTTCGATTTTTTCCAAATAATTTCTGAAGTAAATTAACGTTATTTGGATCAAAATTTGTGTCTGGGAGTTTTTTGGCATGAGAAATTTAATTCTGATGTCAATTTGACCTCTACTTGTAGAGGGCGCCACCTACATTTTTTTTCTGGTTTAAAGAGTAATAACTTTTCGTCCCTACCTGTATAACACTACTGATTAAAAAAATATACATTAACGACGTCTGTTTCGTAAAAAAGTTCTCTTGGTAAAGATCTCTACGAGTAATGGTTCTCGAGATATTTGGAAACGAAATTATCAATACCTGTCATCGTTGACATAAAATAAACATGTTGAGTAAATAGTTATTAAACTGAAAGCATAAATGTTTTTGGGCCCAAAATTCAACATCTACTCAACATGTATATTTTTTTGTCAAAAATGACATGTATTGACTAGTGTAATGTTATTGTAATTGTAATGTTATTGTAATGTATTGACTATTGTTAAATACATTAGAAATAGAAATTTTCTATTCTAAATATCGTGTGAACGGTTGCTCGGAGCACAGGAGACATTTTTTACGTAAAAAATCACGGAAATGTAGATTTTTCACTCTGTAATTTTATACAGATACGGACGAAAAGTTATTACTCTTCAAAACAGTTAAAACACATGTAGGTGGCGCCCCCTACAAATAGAAGTCATATTGACATCAAAATCAAATTTTTCATGTCAAAAAACTCCCAAACTCCAATTTTTATCCAAATATTGACGTTACTTCAGATATTATTTGGAAAAAATCGAAATAAAAATGAAACTTCTACACCCTGTATCTCCGAAACTAAGCATTCTATACATACATTTATACGAACTTTTTCACTTATTTTTATTTGCAGAATATGCTGCCAAAATTTCCGGAATACAGTTCGGACCACCCTGTATAATGACAGATATGATACATCTCATGACACTAACATGGTTAGCGAACTGAGTGTCCTGTCAAAAGTAAAGTCTTAATGTATCGTGGTGAACCAGCGCATTATTTTGCACTTAATTTAATAGTAGTATTATACAGGGCGACTCACTGTCAACTTTGTTATTTTCAGGACGCGCTTATCTTTGCTGGACGCGAACTAGAAATCCAGTTCAGAATGTCACGACAATTGACAGATTTTATGGCCACGCTCCATAAAAACGGCGTAGAAGAAAAACGACTGTCAAAATTCGTTTCGCACAATGTTACCGATGACATAATTACCTTTAATATCAGTTTTCCCGAAGAGGGTCAATACGGGCTGGACATTTATACCAGAGAAATGGCGCCACTGCAAGACTCGCCTGGAGAAAAACACCTCCTCACGCATTGCTGCAAATACCTGATCAATTCGTCCAAACGAAATTAAGTTTAATATTTTTTGTTCTTGTTATTAGGACAAGTTTTTGATTCTATTTTCAGAAGTTATCTAGTCCTAAATTAATTTTACTTTTGAACGAACCTAATGTTAAAAAAAATTGACGCTTACAGAGTAATACCAGTCTATTAAGGCTACTTTGAAAAATAAGGTGCTAATGTTGTGAAATTAAAAGTTTATATGAAAGAAGAGTAAATATACAGTGTGTCCCAGTGTCCTGAAAAAGAAACTAATCTTCTTTGTAAAATATGTGAGCAAAAGCAGCGCTCATTTTTTTCAGAGATATTACACGGTAATTCAAATACCGTATGATCGAGAAAAAACGGCGTCAGCGATGGCTATGGAATGAAGATCGCTGTCATTTTATATGTAAATTTATATGGGAAATGTCATCGATGTTCATTTCCCAGCCAACTGGACGCCGTTTTTTTCGATCATATGGTATATTGACTACGTATATATCGGCTAGTTACAATCCGATTGAACAGATCAGATTCACTTTAGTCCATCCAATAATAAGTATACCAAATAATAATATCCCGGCGGCGATTGAAATCTCAATGCGCATCCAAATTCTTAACTCGATCCTCTTTTTCGGTAGGATTGAACTTATTCAAACGGATACAAACATAATATCATTTGATATACACAAGATAGGATCGACTTAGAATGACATTTAGTACAACCTTCTAACCTTACTTTCGTTGTAGTTTGTTTTGATTTATATGCTGACCAAATATCTAATTTTATTTTGTCTTTTTCTTATTTAAAATGGAGAACAGTCAAAAGTTAATACAAATATCAAAAAATACTTAAAACAACACTAAAATATCTGTTTCATCTTATAATTATTTATCTTTGTACAGGGTGGGTCAAATTGGACGCTTTTAAAGGGAAACACCCTTTTCTATAGGAGATAGATTAAACTAATATCGGTGTCTGGAGCTCAATTTTTATCAAAAACATGATGGTGAAAACCGCACATCGATATCTGTTACCGTTTCGGAGTATTTTTCAAAAATGTGCATTTTTAACAAATCGCTGTAACTTTTTTGCTATGGAAAATTTTGAATTTTTGTGAAAACATTTCCGAAGCACTTTTTTACGTAGAATTTAATGTTTCAAGTATAATTTTTTTAAAATTAATAATTTAAGAGTTATCAACAGAAAAACTGATTTTTTATATGGGACTCCCTGTATATTTTTAACTAGGTGAAAAGAACTTAAAATTACCTTACCAAAAATATAGCACATTTGATATTTTGTTACAGTCCCCTACGAAAGAGAAATTTTAAAAGTGCTCCACTTTTAACTAGTAGGTTTTGGACACATTATTGATGATCTGCCCCTAATGGAAGTCGAAAATATGTTTTCCAGCAAGATGAGGCACCGCTTCAGTACGCTGAAGCAAACTTTTGCAGCCAATTTCGAGACTAATTGAATAGCTAACCAAGATCCCAGCCGTTGGCCGTTGAGGCCGCCGGACTTATCTAGTGCCTGTTATCCTTAGTGGATTTTTATCTTTGCGGACGAATAAATGTTCTTATTTTTAAATTGCCCGTATAATCTAGACAAGAATTAAAAATACTAAGCAGTTATGCGACGGTGTCTTTCACCCCCACTGAGTTAATGAATTCCGCGAGAAATGTTCAAAAATGGTCCCGTCTGGTCATAACAGAAGACGGCCGACGTGTTCAACACCTGTAGCAAAATCTCATGTTTTGGTTTGCTATTAATTTTTATTGTTATTAGATATAGTTTAAATGTGTTGATTTTGTTAAATATAGTTTAAATTGTTATGAAATTCTGCATCTCTCAGTGCAAATATTATTTTCGTTTTAATTTGCTCCTCACAGCTAGATTTTTTTTGCATTACAGCCGGCGCCGTTCAAAGCCTACTTATTCAAAGTGGGCGATTTTTTAAAAACTCTATATCTCGAAGAGGAATCGAGCAAATTATCAAGTATGCTATATTTTTGGAAAGGTAATTTTAAGTTCTTTTCACTTAATTAAAAATATACAGGGTGGCCCAAATAAAAAATCAATTTTTCTGTTGATAACTCTTAAATTATTAATTTTAAAAAAATTATACTTAAACCAATAAATTCTACGTAAAAAGGTGCTTTGGGAATGTTTTCACAAAAATACAAAATGTTCCACAGCAAAAAAATTACAGCGATTTGTTAAAAATGCAGATTTTTGAAAAACTTCGTAAAAAACTTTTGTAAAACTTTTTGTAACTCCGAAACGGTAACAGATATCGATGTGCGGTTTTCACCATTACGTTTTTGATAAAAATTGAGCTCCAGACACCAATATTAGTTTTCGTCTATCCTTATCTGATATTTAGAAATTGAAAGAACAAACCTTAAGATGTATTAGAAAAATGGCGATAGACACGGAATTGAACAAAAAGTGTTTCTAGCTGATCAACTGAATTGGATCAAGTCCATATATACTTATAAGCCCATACACGTAGTCGTTATTCCACAAAGTTTTAGACCTTTTTTCAATAGAATGCTGTACATTTTTTGTCGGAGTAAATTTGTCAGAAAATTTCAATTATAAAAATACCTATATCATGGTTATTGTATGATGATTTTTTGATTAAATTTCCTGTTTATACATGATTAGTTAAAATTATGTTTTTTGGATTTTATAACCAAAATGACATTATCCAAATAGTTTTTATATACAAAATAGATATTTAAACACTAATTTCCTGTTTTATAAATGATTATTTTTATTTCATTTGAAAAACTAGGTCTCCTAAAAATATATTTTAATCGCCCTGTATCTATGAAAATATGTTTAAAATGTGTGCTACTATTACTATTAGCTGCATATTCTACAAAGAAAACTGAGTAAAAAATCTCTCACTGAAAACCTTAGGAGTTTTTTGGGCCACCCTGTGTATACATACGTCTGTTTTAAAATGTTTTAATGTTGTTAAGGCCTAACGCTTGCCTGACCTACAATCGATCGAGAAAAACTGAAATTTAGAATTAGTTTTGTTGTTAAATATACTAATTTGCCTAAGATTAATTGTTTAAACAAAGTAATCCGATAAAACTGTTAATACATATTGCTAAAATTAAATTAAATAATCCAGGGATATAGAGACTGTAGTTATATCATCCTCCTTATATCACAAATTATAATTATTACTACAGTCACTCTCAATTATTAATATAGTTTAATCAGGGATGGACAATTATAAAAAATTGCTGTAAAAAAAACCTGTTAATGGCCGTTATAAACAAAATATTTTATTATATTTCATTCCACTACTTCGTCATTTTATTGATAACATACATTTTATACTGGATGCGTCTCAAAAGTGGGTCACCCTTATAACTTTCATATATTGCAGGTTTCGAGAAAAACGAGATTTGTTATGTTAGTATATGACATAAATTAGAATTGATTGACGTATTCAATTGTCTTTGGTCAGTTCCTGTTTCACCGGAAATGACTACAAGTTTTGATTTTTAAATGGCACCCTGATATATTTCTACTTTATTCGAGAGAAAATGACCCTCTGAATAGAATGACATATTATATGTCAACTTTTGACACTTCCGCATATGGTTTATTTGAAATTGTGGTTGCGGTGTGAACATGCGGTTCATATCGACAATTTGACTTGAAATGCCAAGTGTGTGGTACCAAATTATTCGTAAAAAAATGCTTTTTCCAAATATACTAATGAGTGACCCTTGTCCAATTTTTAAAAATTGAGATAGACAAGACGCGAAAAACATTAGGCGATCAAATCTATTTTTCCAAAGCTCCTTGAATAAAAATTAGTGTTAACATGACACTCTAGATTGAAATTTAAAATACGATTTTTTTAAACGACAATGTCAAAAGTTGAAATATGATATGTTATTCTATTCAGAGTGCCACTTTCTATTGAATAAAGTAGAAATATACCGAGGGTACCATTTACAAATCAAAAGTTGTAATCATTCCTGGTCAAACAGGAAGTGACCAAAAACAATTAAATACATCAGTCAATCCTAATTTATGTCATATACTAACATACCAAATCTCGTTTTTTTTATCTAAAAAAATAAAAGTTATTCAGGGGTGAACCACTTTCGGGACGCACCCGGTATTTCGTATAGAAATCCAAATTTAGGGAAACAACTGAAAATTTGTACTAAAAAGAAACAGGAATGTCATTTTCGTTTACTTCTTTACATCTTTTTTTAAATGCATTTAAAATAGACGAGTAAACGGCCATCCCTGCGTAAAATACTGTTAAATTTAAAATGAGAGGTTTCCCCCTTATTTTGTAAATTTCCCCAACCTGTCTCAACTTTCCCAATATTTTTTCAGGCTGACCAAATGTAAATAATGTTATCAAAATGTGTAAATGGGTACCTTCAATGAAAGTGCAATAACAAAGGACACTAGACAGAAATTTATATAAAAAAATATATATTTTGACAAATAATTAATGATAGTTATGCACATATTAAGGTTTTATATATTTCTGTTATTTACCATTAATTTAATAAAAAAAAAATAATGGATTATGTAAATTGCTTAAATTCACATTCCAGTAATGTATTGCATTTAAAGTTAATAAAGATTATTTATTTTTAACTTTGTTTTTTTTATAAATTAAAAATGTTTTATTATATATTTTAAACAGCATAATAAAAATAATTGCACATAAACCATTCTTATTAAAACATATAAAATTATAGAAAAGATAAAATTTAAAAAATCAGTCTTATTTTCCTTATGCTCTAATCTTACATGGCAAAGCAGAACTACTTCTACTTGATTCAACGTTATCAATAATGGATGTCAGCATACCTTCTACTTCAGTTACTGCATATTTTAAATTGCAGTTATCCATGGGATTCAAGGAATCTTCAAGAGAAAAATTATTGGCTAAAATCTGCTGTAATTTTGCCAAGGCTTCGTCTAAGTCATTATGCAAAAGTTTAACTGGTGACCTTGGAGCACTTACAGTTGTAAACACTTCAGGTTCTCTTGCATTCTGCCCATTTTCTATCAAAAAATATAAAATTAATATAGGAAAACTAACAGAAAAAAAATTATACCTCTATTCCAAATATCAAAATCATTATTTTCATTTTGATTGGCATTTTGCAAGCTTAAAGAATGGCGATCAATATCATCATGACCAAGCTGAGATTCATTGTCTTCTAATTCAGTTATCATGGTGATTGGGCTCAAATTTCTTAATGTCATTATTTTGGGATTATTATTGTACTGCACTATAGGTGTAGATTGTATATTAGGAATTTCAATTGGAGAATTTTTACCAGTAGATTTTGTTTTGTGTACAATATTAATTTGGTTCTTTAATACTTTAAGTTTTTTAATATTCTCTGCCATAAATATACGATATTCTTCCAAGTATTTCTTTATTTCTTTGTCATTGTAATTTCCAAATATAAGCATTTGTTGAAGTTCTCTGTTCTGAGACTCCAATTGCCTTATAACACTTTGAAGTTGTGTCTGAGGTGATGATAGAGGTTCTATGTCCATTGAAATTGAAGACTGGTATAATTTAATATCTTTCATTACACAACTAAAAAATATTTATGAAAATTAAAACATATAACAAAATATAACTACCCTATGCATACCTGGTGGGATTAATAACTACAGAATGTGCAACTGATGAATTGGAACAAAATAACCCACAAAAAATTTTAATTAAATCATTAGATTTTTCCTAAAACAATTTAAAATTAATTAAAATAAAAATAACTAATTTATTTAAAATATACTAACTTTATTGTTCACTGACTCTCCATAATATTCTCTGACAGAATGAGAAAGTTTATGAGAATGACTAATACGTCCAGTTAAAAAACATCTCTGACACTGAATATATCTTGAACATTTTACACAAGAATACTTTAGACCCATTAGTGGCTTCGTTTTACAAGTTGTACATTTAACAGCATGCATAACTGAAAAAAGAATATAATTTATACTATTTTGATTAAATTATAATAACCTACTTGTTTCAGCAAATTTCAATTTATAAATTTGTGGTATCCAAGCTAATAACGCAGGTTCACTTTCCAGCCACGTAACAAAACTACTTTCTGTTATTCCTACCAAACCTGGAGACTAAAATATTTAAAAAAAGAATAAATAACATTATACTTCTTCTAACAACAGATTTATTACATTTTGAAAACAGTTCTCAACTGTAGAATTTACCACTTGAGGTCCAAAAGATACATCTTCGTGCAAATATTTTATAATATCGTACATTTTCATTAGCAATGCCTTAAGTCTCACCCTTGTAATGCAATAGTTATGGTCAGAACATATAGAAAATAGATATTTATAATAATCCAAAAGTGTGCAGTTACTTAACAATCCCACTAGAATTTTAGTAGAAAAAACTTGAATATTTCCTTCTCTGAAACTGGAAAAATTTTAAATAAATCACTATTTCTTGTATTAGAAACTACATGAGTTTTCTACTAACCAGTCAAAAGTATTGTATAATAAATTTAAAACTAGTTCTGAAGCAAAATCTATATCAGTGTTTGTATGATTTCTTTTATTAGCTGCAAAAAATATATCCGATAGCACTGATTCTAAATCACAGGTTTCTAACACTAAGCTATTTTCATTATTTCCTAGCTTATGTCTTTCAAATATACTAATTATAGTTGATAAAGATACTTCTTCCACTGAAAGAAATAAAATTAAGAAAAAAATACATAAGAAAACATTAACCCTTACTAAATAAACCTCTTTGCAAAACTCGAAATTTTAAAGCTAGTCTGTAAGAGGGGTAAGTTACATAATTGCACTCATCAATTCCTTGTTTAACATCTGAAAATTTTGGATGATCCCATTGTTTAATACCCTTTTCTTCACTAAAATTAAATATAATATATTGAACTTTTCTGAAATGAAATCTTTGAAGAGTAGTATTTAAAAAAAACTTATACAGCCTACATATTATGATATTCTATAATTGTAATTTAAAAAATAGCGTCTTAACTTACTTTACATAATATATAAATCCGTTTTCATTTTCAATCTTCTTCCAATTGCCCATTTTAAAAACGGATGTAACAGGTGGGTGATTTTCTAACAGGTTAGAAATCAAAACAAACAAGTGCTACAGTCCAAAAATTGCTACATAAATCACAACAAACGATTACATCCTGTTGAATCACCTCATAATAATTCATATAGGTACACAAGATTCTAATTTTAGAGTAGTTTATGTTGCATTTATAAATAATAAACAACGGTTGTTTGATTTTAAAAAACACCAAGAAATTAAAAAATCAACAAATGACAACTGTCAAACTATTAGTGATGGGCAATGGACAAAGAAAAAGTAAATAGTAATGGGCTGAAGTTCTATTACCATAAATATTATGGATACATCAAACATATTTCCGATATTTCTGGGTAACTATTTCAAATTCAATCATTATCACCATATACATCAGTAGAGAAGGGTCTAAGTACTTATACAAAATTCAAAATGGCATGTTCTATTTTCTATTTTAAATACTTTTGACAAAGTATTTTCTATTTTGTATTTTAAATAGAAAATGATTATGCATTTCACAATATATAATCAAAGAGAGTAGACTACTCTTACTTAGAGCATATCACTTAAATCATAGCAAACCTATCGAATATATTGGAAACCAGGCATCGCATAGGGTGGTTCACACAGACGACTCTCATTTTCCACGATCCTCTGTCGGAGAACACACTTAATTAAAGTAACACACTTAAGAAAGCAATAAAAATAAATAATAATTATAAGTGCCCCAGACAGAAGGAGCCTTAGCACTAGTAAAGACCGCTTAAAACAAAAGAGAGCCACCATGGAAACAAAAATAAGACATCACGAATCTAACAAACGTAAAGAGCATTTAAGATTGTATCGCTATTGTTTGAAAAAGACCAGAAAAAGTTCTATAGGAGACTCAATTAGGAAACAAAAATTTCAAATAATGGACTATGGACTACCAGCAAAAGAAGACATGTACAGATTTTAGAACAGCATGTGGGGACAAGGTGGTGAACCATTCCGACGAATACTAGTTAGCAGAGGAGATAGAAACCAGGAAATGGAACAGATGGCAGATATAAAACCAGGATAGAAACTAGGAACTGGAACAGATGGCAGATATAAAGATAGAGATAGAAGATGTTCAAAAAGTTATAGCAACAACGCAACACTGGAAAAGACCTGGAATAGATAAATTACATAACTTATGGCTAAAATATTTCTCGGCACTGCACAGACATTTAGCAGCACTTTTCCAACGTTTAATCTACCATCCGAAATAGCTTCCTAAAGATCCAACCTGTATAAGCTCTTCACAAGGTATTATGTAACAAAATAACTATGCATCTGGATACCAATAACATAATAGCTATCGAATAGAATGGATGCCGTCGAGGATAAAAAAACTGTCAAGAACTTCTGGTGATAGACAATGTACTAGGACGGCAGGTCCAAGATAAACAGAGGCATATATCAGCTGCCTGGATTGACTATAAGAAAGCATGTTCTTCATTTTTGGCTTAAGGTTTTGCCATTTATCGTTTCAATGGTAGGGTGTAGGGTTTCCATATGTCCGGATTTACCTGGACATGTCCGGATTTGGAAAAGCGTCCGGGAAATCTGACCGCAAAAACAATTTAACTTAGTAAAATATTTTACAGCTATATTTGAATTTTTAATTTCTTGCTTTGTTGAATATTTTAGTCTTTACCATGCTACAGCTGCATCGTATTTAAGAAGTATAGAAAGTACCCATTTCTATACTTTGGCGCTCAAATTTTTGACTTTTGGTGTTTGGTGCACTCTTGGAAAGTGAAAGTTGTTTAGTTTATATTTTGTTGGTTACGGGGTTGTTATTTGCATCCTATAAAAGTTAATAAATAAATTCATAGTTTCTACGAGTCCGGATTTTGTCCGGATTTCAGAGTTCATTTTTCCGGATTTCTGAGTTCACTTGTGCGGGATTTCCAAAACCCTTTATGGAAACCCTAACCGATGGTCTGGTTCAGATTGATTTTGAGAAGAACTTAAAAGAGCTAAAACTACCTGAAAATCTCATAAAAGTCAATGTATTAAAGCAGTTATTTTGTATTTCCTGTATACAACAAAATATTATTAGAATATACAGCTTTATAAACAATTCAACATTTGTATAAAAACATTTTTTCATATCTTTGTCAACAACGACGTTATTGAACCCCATCGCCCTAATGGGTCACCCTGTATTTTTTTTCGTAAATTTTTTAGATATTTTAATAGTTATTCTGCTATTAGAGCATGCTATTAGAGGTTAGGGGGCGGTCAGCGGCTGAGTGGCTGAGTAAGCGACTTCCCTGAAAGATCAATTTTTACACACAAAAAGGTCAGCCCCTGAGCAAAATTCTCAGCGGTCGGTCAGCGGCTGTGTACCCCGAAAGCGGCAAAATGTTACAAAAAATGTCTATACCTCTGTGGCGGATTCATTTCTTCAAGAAAGTCCTATGGGAAATAAATAAAAAATAAAAGGTGCTTTTTTAATACAGTTTAATAAAGATAAATGCATTGCTCATGCATCTGTAGAGGTTAGTATAATATATAACCTCAGGTTGTTAAAAATATCTAACTTCGTTACAGTTGTCAAATCAGTTATCAAAAAGCTTATTTCGGTTTTTTATTACCGATTCTGAACTATCCTAGAAGTAAATACTTTAATTTTTTTTTAATTTTTTTCATGTGCTCACGCGCTGTAAGTTCTAAGACGGTTCAGAATCGGTAATATAAAAAGCCCGAACAATGCTAAAAATTATTTTCTATTGTAAGTTTTACCAGGTTGTTCTATTCTTCTTTATTGTTGGCTCTGTCTAGTTTGTTGATTTTTAAGAAAAACAATTGCAATTAATTTTTAAATATTAACTCAAACCCAATCATATAAAATTATTATAGAAATGATAGAGAGTGAATTTTCTTCAATTCCGGACACGAAAAAACTTTCTCAGTCGGCTTTTGGAATACAAATTCGTCGTGTTGACGGATAAACGAACTATAATAGGGTCGTGGCAAGTATCGACTAATATCAGATTGATCATACCGAGCTTAGTACTGCGCTGTTTTCCAATATCCTTCTCCGTAACCAAAGTACGGCCAACTTATAGCAATTTGTCACTTTCTATGACTGAATTCGTCATCGTTTAATAGCTATTAGATCGGAGAGAATTTAGGGTACTTTTGTTTTTAATATAGAAAAAGAAAATTCGGGTCAGTTAAACCGAATTCTAATCGATTGGCGCTGCGTGATTGGCCTACAGATTATTAGAAATAAACTACTGAAAATATTTACTTAGTTTACTTTTGATTTCTTTTGAATGGAGTGAAATTCTTTATCTATATCTATACTAATATATAAAATCCTTAAGTGACTGACATACTGATTAATCACGATCCTGCCCAAACCACTCAACGTAAGAAGCTCAATTTTGGCATACAGGTTGATTCTAGGGTGTAGAGGTTCGATAAGAAGGGATTTTTCGATATTCCAGTTCCAAGAGGGTGAAACCACCCCTCATATATTACAATATTTTTTATTTAAAAAACGGTCAAGTTTCCGAAAAAACGCTTAAACACGTATATTTTATTTTGTTATTTTACATATTTTAAGATTTTTTATAAATTTATACAGGGTGTTTCATAAAATATGACCATTGAATAATCACGATTCTGCTTAAACTGCTTGACGTTTAAAACTGATTTTTGGTAAACGGATTGACTGTGGGGTGTAGGGGTTCGATAAGGAGGGGTTTCTCGAATCTCAAATTCCAAGAGAGTGAAAACGCCCCTCAAATATTACAATATTTGTTATTTAAAAAACGGTTAGTCTTTCGGGAAAACGCTTGGACAAGCATAATTTATTTGGTTTTTTGACATATTTTGAAATTTTTTAAAAAATCATACAGGGTGTTCCAAAAAGTTGGGTAATTTCTTAACCACGATTCTGCGTAAAAAGTTAATTGACGTAAAAAGCTTATTTTTGGCAAACGGATTTTTCGAAAGTCAAATTCCAACGAGATGAAACTACCCCTCAAATATTATCAAGTTACATAATAATATCGCCATATTGTTTTTTCTCATGCTAACATAAATGTGAGAAAATTTTATCCAGTTTGTATGTTAATGGAAATTCCTGCTTTGCTTTATCATCACCATTTTAAACGATTAATTCGACGCGAACGAAGTCGCTGGTACACGCTAGTTGGTTTTAAAAAGTAATCATTAATAAATATACTATTCGATATAAAAAAAAACGGCATTAGAATTATTTGTTTGTAAATGAAGATCGCTGTCATATACAGGGTGGTCCGAATTCCGGAAACTTCGGCAGTATATTCTGTAGATAAAAATAAGTAAAAAAGTTTGTATAAAAGTATATAACATGTTGACTGAAATGTTTTTGAGCCAAAAGTTCAACAAAAACTGTTTTATTATCATTTCTTCGCAGAAAAATCTATGGTTAATTTAAAAAAATAAAAATTTCCCGATTTTATTATTTACGCAAAAAGTCTCGGAAATGTACACTTTTTCACTCAGTACTTTTATACAGGTACGGACGAAAAGTTATTACTCTTCAAAACAGTTAAAATAGCTGTAGGTGATGCCCCCTACAAATAGGAGTCATATTGACATCAAAATCAAATTACTCATGTCAAAAAACTCCCAGACCCCAATTTTCATCCAAAGTTGCTTCACAAATTATTCGGAAAAAATCAAAATCACAATGAAACTTCTACACCCTGTATCTCCGAAACTAAGCATTTTAGGACATACATTCATACGAACTTTTTTACTTACTTTTATCTGCAGAATATGCTGCCGAAGTTTCCGGAATACAGTTCGGACCACCCTATATAAATCTCGGAGCATTATACCAGGTGTTTTTCAAAAGTGGCTCACCCCTATAATTTTTTTACTTTCTCAGATAAAAAAAACCGATTTGGTATGTTAGTATATGACATAAATTGGATCGGGATTGAATGAAGTATTCAATGAATTTCCGTCACTCCTGTTTCACCGGAAATGACTTCCTAACTACAATTTTTGATTTTTTAATTGGAACCCTTGGTATTTTTTTTACTTTATTTGATAGAAAATTATATTCTGAATAGAATGACATAACATAATTAAATCTTTCTGCCATTTTCACTTAAGAAAATCGAGGGGTGTCTCACGACTTGGGTAAAAAATGTACCTGTACTGCCAAAATATCATGTTACTGCCAAGCAACTGAC